AATTCCTCGCATATTACGCGAGCGCTCAGTTCCCGCTGAGGGGTGGGAGGGGAGCGCTGACTCACCCGCCGCGTCACTGCCGGTGTGGGGGGGGGCTCGGATTTCGCAACATGTCACAATATTAAAACTGGCAGGAATATGTGGTTTCTGTAATGTTAAAAATGTACGTAACATCAAACTAACTTGTGAGTGACATGAAGCCATTGAATCAAACTACAAAAAACTCGCATGCCATGTCAAAGTTTTCGTTAGGGTTCCAAGCACTATACATGACACATGAATGGCAAACACTGACGTAACATTGCTGACTGTGCGTTCTGGTATGCGAGTGTGTGGGGCTAACATGAGCAGTCATCAGCACACTCAAGGACAAACATCGATAAAACTAGTCAGCTGACAGGTAAAGTGCATGGACCCGCCAGAAGACTACACTTTTCTCGGGCCATTATCTCTGTAACCGTTCAACTTTGGACATAGGTGTTTTGGGTTATATCGGCATACTTTAACATAAGGTACACCCTCCCAAAGTATGGCACATTCCTCCTGGGACACCCTGTATATGTTAGCCATGTATTTGCCTGATGATGGCTTTTAATAGCCGAAACATGTAGCAGAGCCAAACTAGGAACTGACCTTAATATAGTTGTGTTGTGATGGTTTTAAGAAAGATATTGTTACAAGGATAACTTTTTTTAAATAACTGATTAATTAAATAGATTTTAAAACTGGTTCTGAACCTTCCCCAACTAAACAGAAACTTAGCTGTTGATGATTCAAAACAAGTATGCTTGAACCAAAGAAGGTATATTATTATATTTAATTAATGTAATTCAATTAAAATGGTGAAAAAAGATCTGAAAAGTTATTCTTTTTGTAATCTCACTCCCTTATATGTTGGTTCCCTGTCAACACACCCTTACATTTTTACCCTCTCTTTCTCCTAGACCAGCAAAACTGCTCCTTTTCAGGGCCATACTAAACTCCTGTTCTAGATTCCTATTGGTTTGCTCAGCAGTCGTATGAGATCCCAGCAGTTTCATTCTGTCCCACGGTGAGCCAATGGGAACTGAGGTCCACTTTTCCATTTCCCTCCTACTTCCTATATAATTCGAAATACCAACCAGCTAATTACTCAGCTTGCCACTTGCTTTCATGCTGAAACATTGGTTAGCTTTCAGTGGACTACAAAGTGTTATATTCCAGAAGATAGTACTCTTCTTCCAGTAGATGCTCTCCTTTGTTACAGCATTTTTGATGGTGCATTCATTGTTGTGAGTTTTGTCTTCTATTTTTTCATCGTTAACCAATAGTTTTATTTAGTACTTATTAATTATGTTGAATGCCGGAAGTAGGTTTCACATCTGAGGCTGATTTCTAGTAACATATAGCTTTTGTTTGTCAGGTTGGCACAGCAAGATTCCCAGCTCATCGATACATTGTGGCAAGTCGTTGCGAGCTGTTGGCAAAACGTATAATGGAACATAGCGGTGGTTGTAGTATTCCTGAGATAGAATTGAATGACGTAAGGGCTGATGTTTTCAGACAGGTGTTGCAGTTTATCTACACAAATGACTGCTCCATGCTTCGGACTGGAGAATGCCCCATCAAGTGAGTATGATTGGTAACATAACTTTTTCACTGTGGCATGTTCATGCATATAATATTTTGTAATGTCTTCTCTGAAAATTCTGGACCAATAAAGAAGGTCTGAAGCAAAATATTTTCATAGTGGGAGAGTTTGGCTGTTGTACAGATTTTATGCCTACCTAATTGTTATCAACTTGAAATACTACAAATACAACTGTGACCAAGGGCACAAGGTAGCATAGTTTGTTGAGGCACTATGCTACAAGTCAGAAGGATGCAGGTTTGGTTCCCAAAGAGTTCACTGGTTTTTTTCAATTTACGTAATCCTTCCAGCCACACTATGGCCCTAGAAACAACTCAGCCTCTAACAGAAATGAGTACCATGAATATTCCTGGGGATTAAAGAGTGGCCAGCACAAAAGGCTGACAACCTTACCGCCATCTGTGAGCTAATGGTCTAGAAAATGGTGGAGCCTCGACGTCTCACAATCCTATGGGCCTTCACAGCCTTTTACAGGGATAGCTAGCTTTACCTTTTTTTTACCACTGTGGCCAGGTTAGAATGAACACCAGATATAAAAATTGTGTTCATTCATTCTACAGAATGATGTCCCAAGATGACACAGATAACAATGGAGTTCAAGAGGATGGCCTTGATAAAATTTCTGGATTAAAGGACCCCAGTTCCATATCTGCATTTGAAGTCTATAGCATGAGGAACCACCAACACAGCACTAACAACAATATAGACAACACCAAGGAGAAGGCTGTGACAAATACCACCAGCAATCCTGTTCGATTAGTTCAAGAAGCTGCCAGAAAATTTGGATTAACAGTGCTTAGCTCTGAGCTGGAAAAAATCAGGTACAGTGGTAGCCATTTGATATCACTAACAAGAATGGAAATATATGTAGTTCCATTTTGCAAATGGATTATTTGAGATTGTGCATGGCTGTTTGTCTGTGATGCTGATTTATTCCGGATACAAATGTAACGTTGTGAGGTCAAAAAGAGCACAGATATGACACCATATTGAGACATAATTATTTTTCGTTGTGTTATGTATATTTTCTGTAATGTACAATCCTTTTGTTTTTGAGAAATTAGAGTTCCATTTCAGCCTGATGTTAAGGAGAGTACATGCTGTAGTAATGTGAATCAAACTGAAATTTGCCTGACAACACTTATTTTAAATCTCCAAATACCAAATTAAATCCAAATCCATTTGAGGCCATTACAGACAATCAAATGTGTGGATGGGCAAGGAGATTTTGCATTCCCAAAATGTACTCATTTTTATGCACACTGTTCCAAGGATGTGTGAACAGGTGATTAAAGTGAACAGTCATGGCTGAGGCAGTGTCATCAAAACCTGTTCAGACATACAAAGTCTTTTGAGCTCACTTTTACATCATTCTCCATATTTATGAACTTTATGTACAGTTCACTGGATAGGTTCATATAGTAATGCTCAAGATTTTATGTGGGAGGTACCCATATTGAATCTTGGCAAGGTTATCAGTTATCCTGAATTAATTTTTTTTTTTTTTTTTTTTTTTGTGGTTTTGTCTGTCGTCTCCTGGTAAATGCTAGTGTTGTATCTCCAAATAGACCATTACTGCCTTCCATATCCTTATTTAATCACCATTAGTTATCATCTTTCCCACTTTTTTGATGATGTGTAACATCTGCAGTTGGTACAGCAACGTTAACCCTGGACTTTCTCATCTGTGTTTTATTAGGTGTTTGGGAACCTCACTGGGCAAATACCTTTGACAGTGTCATAAAAGTTGTGAGCTGACTATTTATGGCTTTCCAATAACAGAAATTGGAAGTGATTTGACTATTTATGGCTTTTTGTTGACACAAAATTGGAAATAGAATATAAGAAGGAAGTTTTTGAAATAGGAACTGGCAAGGAGAGGCTTAAATAATGTATGAATTATTGAGTTTATATTACTCTGTACTGCTGAGATAACTTACTGGCCCATCATCTTTTTTTTGTGTGTGGAAAATTAATGCTTCTTCCTCTTGCTATCCAGTTTTCTCCTTTGAACTGTTTCATTTGCTCTTCTTCCCATGACAAGGTATGAGGATGGTCACATTATGATGAAACAAGGCTGTCGACTTTCGTGCCTCAGTGCCCCATCCATGAAGAGAGAGGATTTTCAGAACTTGTATGATGTGAGGATCCGCAGCGAAGATGGGCAGGAGCTCCTTGCCCACAAATGTGTACTCATTGCAAGATTAGACTACTTCCGTAGCATGTTGTCTGGTAGATGGATTGAGGTTAGTAAGTTATTCCTGTGTGTTTGAGCTGGCTTAATCTTGTTTTCTTAATTACTTCCTCCATGAATATGTATCTATATACACTCTTGGCTGTGACGCCGTATAGTCAGGTAGATGGTTGTCGCTATTTTAGAGGAACCTGTTTCCACCTTCACTTCTACCCTGAAGATTGAAGTTCATCTGAGACATTGGTAACAGCATTCCAGGCAACATAATGTCATGAGTTGGACAATCACAGTGTATATTTTCCTTGCCATGAAACCCTGAAATCTGAATATGTCATTTTTGTCTCTTTTAGATGACTGGTAATAATAATAATTGCGTAATGAACCTTCCGCTGCCCTATGCAGTCCTGGAACTTCTGCTGGATTTCCTGTATACTGACACTGCACCAACTGTTCTGACATCCAAGGATCTCGAATTTTTGAGCAATGTATTGGTAGTAGCAGATCAGCTGTTTGTGGTACGACTCAAAGAAGCAGCTGAGGTTGCACTGGCAAACTCTCTGACTTTACGCAATGTAGGAGAAGTGCTACAGCTCTCGGGAACTTACAATGCGGACCAACTTAAGCATTGTTGCTTCCAGTACATATCGGTCAACCTGTCAGCAATTCTTGAAGCTAGGTACATTTCTTAACTTTTAAATCATAGCCTCTCATATGTGGAAAAATGCTGATCTTTGTGGTTATTAAAGAATAACTTGCTTTTTTTTCACATATGATTTTGTTTGAATTAGAGTTTTCAAGTTTATGGTTTAGCGTTAAATATATCTTCTTCTTGACTCGAAGGATTTGACATTAGTGTGTTCAGGCCTCATTTATAACACTCTCCAGTTCGTCCTCTGTCTTCCCACCTTGCTTTTGCTATATATGTTGTAAGCCATAGCTTGTTTAGGAATGCAGGTTCCATCCATTTTTTTGGAATGTTCCTTCCATTTCTCTCTATTTTTAGCCTACTTTCCCTATTTTAAAATAATTAAAGGAGGCTTTTGAGATCAGTCTGCTGTCTCTGTATTCCTCCTTTTGTTGCTAGGCAGTGCCTCAATAAATTGCGTTCCTGCAGCAGTAAATACATATGCAACAACATTAGAATTATTCTGTATTTAAGCATCCTTTTGCATTAATATATCATTTATTGCATATAATATTGTTGTGTGTTTGCCTATGCAGCATGACAGATAACTTCACATAGGTCAAGGATGTAGCGAATATTTATTCTCCTTCGCTTTTACACTTATACACTTTACAATGTCACAATTAATCTTTCTGCTGTAGTCACTTCTCGACTTCAACTCACTGTGGCGGCTGCTACATTTCTACTATTCGTAATTCATGACTGCCTCAACACTGACGAGAGTACTCTCATTATGTAGCTTCCGCACTAACCACACAGAAAACGTGTTTACCAATTGCCTAGCAACAGTCACTGCACGGACCCCCCTGTTGCATGACGTCACAACCTAGCGGCGAGGGTTGTTTACCGAGCATTGTTACGCAATGAACACTCATTGCTACAGATATCCCTACACAATGGTCTCAGCAATTTCCAGTGTTTCGTTGCTCAGCGACAGACGACATATAACATGTTACCATATATGAGTATTTGTCTCAGATGCATTGAGATATTAATTCCTTTTAGCTAATTTTAATTTCTTTATATAAGGTCAATTTACTTTAATTAAGATATACTACATTCACATGCGATAGGAAATTTTGACATATTATAAAGTGCAACAATTTTGACATGATGGAAGACACCTGGTGATGGCCATATACAGCCAAAACATGTTGTCAGGAAGAAGGGTGACTAATAATAAGTTGCATTAGAGACAGAAATACATTATATGAAATAAATAAAAGAAATTCTGGATGTGATGTTTTCTTTGTGGCCTCTGTCATATCAAATACTCAGTATGTAGTGAAAGGAAAGTAAAAGATTAGTTCTTTCCAGAACTTCTTGTTTATGTTTTTTGTTCAGTGAGACAGTTCTGTCCATATATCTTCATTTCTTAATCTACACTATATAAATAAATATGTATTAGTGGCTAAAGATGGGGTTCAGATTGGTAATTGGATTTATTAACTACCTACAGGTCATAGCTATAAATAATTGTTACACTATTGCTGATATACACAAGTTACAATCACTCCACACTAATCTTCTAAGTCTATTTCCACTAGTCTTCACTATCTCTTTCTTGGCAACAGATTTATAACACACGAACTATGAAAGTCTCACTAAATTACACACTCCCAATATCGATGTACTACAGCACATGTAACATCACACACTAAATCTTCTAATTCTTGTTCTGATATCACTGCTGTTCCCTTGGGACTTCAGAACTCAAGTCCAGTTAATTCAAAGTCAAAGTCACATTGCAACTTACAGTCAGTCAGTAAGTCTTGAAGTTGAGCCCCATCTGGTGCTCATGACCAGATATTTATTACTGCTTAACAGTTATGGTCTTGTCTCTGTGGGGCACCATCTCTGATGAAAGGACAGGTCTGTCTTTTGTATATGCTGCTGGCCCTTGCCAGCGCATTCTTTCTTGGGTCTGAGGTCCTTGCAACTTGCAACCATATTTTACTGTCTCAGATTTGAGACTTCCCTTTTCGTCGCCTCTTAGGACTCGCAAGGTCACGGTGGAAGTATTCAACCTCGCCTCCACATGGGGGAACCTGTCCATTCCCATTCCCGTATTTTGTTATATCATTTCAGCATGCACCACACAGAAAACAAATCAAGTGTACTGTTGGATTGTGAAATCATTGCTCCTGCATGGAAGTGTGTTTACCAAGTCGTTGCCTAGAAGCGGGTTGCATAACCCCATTTTTCCATAATTGGTGCATGTATTACTTAGAAACGCCCGTTTCTGTGGCTTAGCCATTCCTGCATGGTGAAAATATGCTACAATATTTAAACATGACATGGAACAAAAATTTGAAGCAGTTATAACAATATGTAATGCAGTTTTAAAATGTGTAAACATGTACATAACTAGGAATGACAAAAACAACATAGAGATGAGGTTCTAACGTAGTGGTTAAGGTACTATGCTACAAGCCGGTAGGTCGCGGGTTCAAGTCCCAGTGAGGTCACTGGATTTTTTTCAATTGACTTAATCCTTCTGGCCACACTAGGCCCTGGGGTTTACTCAGCCTCTAACAGAAATGAGTACCAGGAATTAATTAAATAATTTTCCTGGGGAGTGAAGTGCAGTCGGCGCGTAAGGCTGACAACCTTACTGCCATCTTTGAGCCGATTGTCAAGGTAATGTGGAACCCTTAACGTCTCACAACCCTATGGGCCTTCACGGCCTCTTACAGGGATAGCTTTACTTTACTTTAACTTCAGGAATATGAGATAGGAGAAACATGTAGTGTGCATAAGGGCTATTAGAAATGAATCCATATATTGGTTGGTAAATGTCATGAGACCATTTGGGTAGATAATGTTAAAATGGATCCTTACTGAATTCATGGAGCTGAGTCCTTGAGAAGCTGCCAGTTATGTATCTACTTGAGAACTTCCCAACATTGTATGAAACTGGAGGTTCATTAACATGTCACAACAGCCCTCCACTGGTCCCTATCGTGAACCATATAAATCCAGTCCATACCACCCCATCCCAGCTCTGAGATCCATTTTAATATTATCCACTGACCTATGTCTTGGTCTTGTTAGTGGTCTCTTTCCTTATGGCTTTCCCATCAATATCCTATATGCATTCCTTTTCTCCCCATTCGTGCTCCATGCCCTGCCTATCTCATCATCCTTGACTTGATCATTCTGATTATACTTGGCGAAGAGTACAAGTTATGAAGCTCCTCATTATGAAGTTTTCTCCAACCTCCTGTCACTTTATCCCTCTTTGGTTCAAATATTCTCAACACCCTGTTCTCAAACACCCTCAGTCTATGTTTCTCCCTTAATGCTAGAGATCAAGTTTTACACCCATACAGAACCACAAGCAAGATTATAGTTTTGTATAATCTAATTTTTACATTTTTAGACAGCAGATGAGAAGACAAAAGCTTCTGGACACCATGGTAATAAACCTTTCCCAAATTCAGTATCCTCTTAATTTCATCCTGAATGACATTTTGATTTGTTACTCTATTTCCCAAATAATCTTATGTGAACTGTGCCACATTTTCAAAGGATTTATTAGCTGTTTTTATGTCATGATTTTGTCCTGTATTCTGGTGATGAGACAGCAACATATACTTAGTTTTCTCTGGGCCGTGCCATAGCTGAAGTGGTTAGTCACTGGCTTCCCACCGTGGCGGTTCGATCCCTGGGTCTGGTCAAGTGGGATTTGTGGTGGACAAAGTGGCGCTGGGGCAGGTTTTCTCCGAGTACTTTGGTTTCCTCTGCCAATCTTCATTCCACCAATTGCTCCACAATCACCCTCACCTATCATCTGGGGCTGGTACAATAGGCCAGAAGTGGCTGCAGTACAAGGGACTTAGTACCACCCCACTAGCAATAAAAAAAATAGTTTTCTCTGTGTTTATTTCTAGACCAACCTCCTTACTAGAGTCAATTAAAGTTTCTCTGTTTTTCTTTATGGTATATATGCTACTCCCAATAGATTCACATAATTAGCCTAGCAGCTGATGTGTTGCATTTAATTTCAGTCCCACCTGGCTTTCCTGGACCTTCCTAGTGGCATATTCGGAAGCAAAGTTGAAAAGCAATGGCGATAAAGCATCTCCTTGTTGTTAAATTGGAGCCTAGGGAAATAAAATGTGAAGGAATGATGTAATTCTACTGGTGAAGGACAGGGTCCAGTGGTTGGCTTTTGTGAACTTGGTAATGAACAAGGTTCACAAGGTTATTTGGTTAATTAGTTAGTTAGTCTGTCAGGTAATTAGTGGGATTATTTCCACTGCAGATGTTAATTAGTTTTGAAATGAGGTGAAATGAATAAGATGGGATGTGTCATGGATGTGAGGGTCAGCATTCAATTTGGGCACCTTGGAAATGCAAACCGTATTAAAAGAACTATGTTCTTTTGTGTTATACTTTGTGATCTAGTAGAAATTGACAACATTTCAGAGAAATATACTATCTCCATCCTCAGGGTTGAAGAGTAAGTCAAGCAAGTAGTATTTAATCCTTGAAGATGGAGACATGTTCCTCTGAATGTTGGTAAACTCCTACCAGACTATATGGCATAACATCCCAGAAGATGGTATCCTTGCTCTGAGAACCTCAATCACACACAAAAACATCTACATTATCGCTACAATAACTATAGTGTTATTCCAGAATCTTGGAATCTGTGAGTAGACAGTTGTTGGAAGACTTGACCAAGTACTACCATGAATTCATCCCAGCCATGAGGAGCCGAATTGTTACACCATATTCCAGTGCCCCAAGCCATGAGCTACTGAAGGTGATCAATGATGCATACCCCATCTCTCCTTGGGATGAAGATGATAGCAACTTAAATGATGAAGGTATGTGTACTTTTTTAAGGCAGAAAATGAGTTTGGCATGTAATTAATTTGTAGGTCATCTAATATGGTTTGATGACAAGTAAGAGACATTTATTGTGTCACCTGTACTGAAATTACATTCTTACTGTAATGAATGTTAAGATTAAGGTCCTGTGGGGTGTGATACCATATAACCTGGTAGGTAGATTTCTGATTTAAGGTTTTCCATCATTTAATGTTTAACCTTTAAACGACTAAAGACAACGTATGTTTCGCAGATAGTAAAGGCAGCGGTACGAATGACGCCATGTGGTGTCGCAAAGTCCGCGCGTTCGGACGTTATTTGAAATACATTTTTAAGGTAGAAAATAATGTCCTACTTATATAATTTTTGGCCACCATCTGCATGGAGTGTCTGTCTTCCCACCTGCGTCATCTGCTGGAATGTTGCCTTCGTGTGGAATTCTAAAAAAATCCGGAAATGCAGAGTCCGATTTCGCACTTCACGAACTTTGTGCGGACGGTCTTTCGTTTCCCACGCGAAAAGCACACACGACACCTCAATTGCGAAGTAGAGGAAGTCTGCCAGTGATGTGGTTTGGCCTTCTATAATCGAGATATCTCCGATAAAACAGCAGGGGTTCGACTCCTGGTCGCACAGTCCGCGCATGCTAACTTTACCTGAAATACAAGTTTAACGTAAAAAATAATTTTGTACTTACGTAATTTGTGGCCACCATCTGCATGAAGCGTCTGTCTTCCCACCTGCCTCATCTACCGGAATGTGGCCTTCGTGTGGTATTCTTGGAAACATCCGGAAATGCACAGTCCGATGTCGCACCTGACGCACTTTGTCCGGACGGTTCTTCGTATCCCACGCGAAGAACACTCACGACATCTCAACTTCGAAGTAGAGGAAGTCGGCCAATGTTGTATTGTGACCTCCCCTATTCGAGATGGCTCCGATCTAACAGCCGGGGGTCGACCCCTGGGCCGTTGAGGGCGAGGTGGACCCCTTCCAGCGAGCTCCAGCATGTTCCGCACAAGGGCGAGACGAAAATCTCTGTGTGACAATTTCGCGCCACAGGATGACAACAGGATATAACTGTTCAGAATCGTCAGATCCAGGAGATGGAAAAATAGTTTATTTGTCCATTTCCAGGTCCGACGACAGATGCCATAACTGTTTGCCATCCTGTCCGCCTTGTCCACATAACCCATGTGCTTGTTGTAG